TGCTCTATATTCTGGCCTTTGGGAGCCATAATGAAGACCTTATACCAGGAGTCCTCAAACTTTTTAAACAGAGGGCCAGGTCACAGTCCCTCAAACTGTTGGAGGGCCGGATTATAATTTGAAAAAAAAAACATGAATGAATTCCTATGCACACTACACATATCTTATCTGTAGTGCAAAAAAACTTTTAAAACAATTTTGTTGTTGTTCATTCGTTCAGTCGTCTCCGACTCTTCGTGACCTCATGGACCAGCCCACGCCAGAGCTTCCTGTCGGCCGTCACCACCCCCAGCTCCTTCAAGGTCAGTCCAGTCACTTCAAGGATGCCATCCATCCATCTTGCCCTTGGTCGGCCCCTTCCTTTTTCCTTCCATTTTCCCCAGCATAATTGTCTTCTCTAAGCTTTCCTGTCTCCTCATGATGTGGCCAAAGTACTTCAACTTTGTCTCTAATATCCTTCCCTCCAGTGAGCAGTCGGGCTTTATTTCCTGGAGGATGGACTGGTTGGATCTTCTCGCAGTCCAAGGCACTCTCAGAACTTTCCTCCAACACCACAGCTCAAAAGCATCGATCTTCCTTCGCTCAGCCTTCCCGAAGGTCCAGCTCTCACATCCGTAGGTTACTACAGGGAAGACCATGGCTTTGACTAGGCAATGGATCTTTGTTGCCAGTCTGATGTCTCTACTACTTTATCGAGACTGGACATTGCTCTCCTCCCAAGAAGGAAGCGTCTTCTGATTTCCTGGCCACAGTCTGCATCTGCAGTCATCTTTGCGCCTAGAAATACAAAGTCTGTCACGGCCTCCACATTTTCTCCCTCTATTTTCCAGTTGTCAATCAGTCTTGTTGCCATAATCTTGGTTTTTTTGATGTTTAGCTGCAACCCAGCTTTTGCGCTTTCTTCTTTCACCTTGATTAGAAGGCTCCTCAGCTCCTCCTCGCTTTCGGCCATCAGAGTGGTGTCATCTGCATATCTGAGGTTGTTACTGTTTCTTCCAGCAATTTTCACCCCAGCTTTGCATTCAAGCCCCGCACATCGCATGATGTGTTCTGCATACAAGTTAAAAAGGTTGGGTGAGAGTATGCAGCCTTGCCGTACGCCTTTTCCAATCTTGAACCAGTCTGTTGTTCCGTGGTCAGTTCTTACTGTTGCTACTTGGTCCTTGTACAGATTCCTCAGGAGAGAGACAAGGTGGCTTGGGATGCCCATCCCACCAAGAACTTGCCACAATTTATTATGATCCACACAGTCAAAGGCTTTAGAATAGTCAATGAAGCAGAAGTAGATGTTTTTCTGAAACTCCCTGCCTTTCTCCATTATCCAGCGGATATTGGCAATTTGGTCTCTCGTTCCTCTACCTTTTCTAAACCCAGCTTGAACATCTGGCAACTCTCGCTCCATGTATTGCTGGAGTCTTCCTTGCAGGATCTTGAGCATTACCTTACTGGCATGAGAAATAAGGGCCACTGTACGCAAGTTTGAGCAGTCTTTCGCATTTCCCTTTTTTGGTATGGGGATATAAGTTGATTTTTTCCAGTCTGATGGCCATTCTTGTGTTTTCCATATTTGCTGGCAAATGGCATGCATCACCTTGACAGCATCATCTTTTAAGATTTTAAACAGTTCAGCTGGGATCCCATCATCTCCTGCTGCCTTGTTGTTAGCAATGCTTCTTAAGGCCCATTCAACCTCACTCCTCAGGATGTCTGGTTCTAATTCATTCACCACACCGTCAAAACTATCCTCAATATTATTATCCTTCCTATACAGATCTTCTGTATAGTCTCGCCACCTTCTCTTGATCTCTTCAGCTTCTGTTAGGTCCCTGCCATCTTTGTTTCTTATCATACCAATTTTTTCCTGAAATTTACCTCCAATGTTTCTAATTTTCTGGAAGAGGTCTCTTGTCCTTCCTATTCTGTTGTCTTCTTCAACTTCCATGCATTGCTTATTTAAAAATAGTTCCTTATCTCTTCTGGCTAACCTCTGGAATTGCGCATTTAACTGGGCATATCTCCCCTTATCCCTGTTTCCTTTTGCTTTCCTCCTTTCTTGGGCTACTTCCAGTGTCTCAGGAGACAACCATTTTGCCTTCTTGGTTTTCTTTTTCTTTGGGACGTACTTTGTTGCCGCCTCCTGAACAATGTCTCGGACTTCTGTCCATAGTTCTTCTGGGACTCTGTTTACTAAATCTAGTCCTTCAAATCTGTTCTTCACTTCCACTGTATATTCGCTGGGAATGTTAGTGAGATCATATCTAACTGGTCTGTGTATTTTCCCTGATCCCTTTAGTTTTATTCTAAACTGAGCAATAAGAAGTTCGTGATCTGAGCTACAGTCAGCCCCAGGTCTTGTTTTCACCGACTGGATGGATGTCCGCCACCTTTGGCTGCAAAGGATGTAGTCAATCTGATTTCGGTGTTGACCGTCTGGTGAGGTCCATGTATAAAGCCGTCTTTTAGGTTGTTGGAAGAGAGTATTCGTTATACACAGCGAGTTTTCCTGGCAAAATTCTATCAGCCTGCGTCCCGCTTCATTTTGTTCTCCCAGACCATGCTTGCCTGTGATCCCTGTTGTCATTTGACTTCCCACCTTGGCATTCCAGTCTCCTGTAATGAAATAATGTCTCTTTTTGGTGTATTATCCAGTAGGTCCTGCAGATCCTCATAGAACTGATCTACTTCTGCTTCTTCAGCAGCTGTGGTTGGGGCGTATATTTGGATCACTGTAATGTTGAAAGGCTTTCCTTGCACTCGAATTGAGATCATTCTGTCATTTTTTGGGTTGTATCCAAGCACTGCTTTAGCGAATTTCTTATTAATTATGAAGGCTACTCCATTTCTTCGATGTTCCTCTTGTCCGCAGTAGTAGATCTGGTGGTCATCTGATGTGAAGTGGCCCATTCCAGTCCATTTCAGTTCGCTGACCCCCAGAATGTCTATCTTTAGTCTTGACATCTCCCCAATAACAACATCCAATTTGCCCTGGCTCATAGATCTTACATTCCAGGTTCCTATGGTGTGTTGATCTTAGAGCATCGGATTCGTCGTTCACCTCCAGTACCGTCGGCCGCTAGCCTTCCTTTCGGCTTTGAGCTAGCTGCGTCATCACATCTGGGGCTAGTTGAACTTATCCTCTGCTCCTCCCCAGTAGCATTTTGGCCATCTTCCAACCTGGGAGTCCCATCTTCCAATGGCATACCGACATATCTCTGGTTGTACTGGTCCATTTAGTTTTCTTGGCAAGGATACTGGAGTGGTTTGCCATTGCCTTCCCCAGGGATCACGCTTGGTCTGACCTCTCTGCCACAACCGTCCCGTCTTGGGTGTCCCTTCATGGTTTCGCTCATGACATCATTGAGGTGCTCAAGCTCCAGCGCCCCGACAAGGCGGTGATCCTTTGCTGGAGTTTAAAACAATACAATAACTAAAATGAAGAACAATTTTAACAAATATAAACTTATTAGTATTTCAATGGGAAGTGTGGGACTGCATTTGGCTGATGAGATAGGACTGTTGTTGCTGTTGTGTGCTTTCAAGTCATTTCAGACTTGGGTTGACCCTAAGCGAGGGCTGGGTAAATTACCTTGGAGGGCCGTATTCGGTCCCCAGGCCTTAGTTTGAGGACCCCTGCCTTATACCATCTGCAATCATGAGGCTCCCTAGTATCTTGTGTTTGCTCTCCTCAAATCTTTTTGAAGGACTATCTCAGGGCCCTTCCACATAGCCATAAAACCCAGAATATCAAGGCAGATAATCCACTATATCTGCTTTTAACTGGAATATCTGAGTCCACACTGCCATATAATCCAGTTCAATGTGGATTTTATACAGCTGTGTGGAAGGGTCTCAGGTATAATATAGCACCTAAATCTTCACAGGTGGGCAAGTGGATGCTGCATAATTATATATGTTTTAAGGACAGCCACCAACCAGTAATACGACAATATTTATTACCATTATTTTATCCCACCTTTCTCCCAATATAGGGACCCAAAGCGGCTAATAGCAAACATGACACAATACAAATTAAAAACAGAATGAGAGCATGTAAACATCAATATAATTTTTAAACAATAAAATGTTTCTGTAATAAAGCATAACATGAAAATATAATAAAAACTACATTGAAAAACTACATAACCCCCCACCCACCCACCCACACACCACCACCATCACCATCACCATTTCCACTAACATGGTGCTACACCTGGCATCCCCCCACCCCCACAAGTGATTTTTATTAAATGTTTTTCTGTAAAGTGCAGCTGGGCCTAAGCTATCAGGGTCCATCCTTCCACAACAGAAAAAAAAAAAGCTCCTATGACTACTGCAGCAAAATACAGGGTGAATTCAATGCTAATCCAAACTAGTGTCAACCCACTGGAATTATTATTTGTTATCTCTGATTGTCCCTTTTATTTCAATTGTTTACTTGGGAATTACACTGGATTTGGCACAAGATCTGTACGGGATTTGAAATTTTGCAAACTATGGATAACTGGACAGAAATACTTTTGACAAGAAACACAGTATTTCTCAAATTATTCACAAATTATATCTTGACAGTTTGTGTACCATATTATTGTGTACCATATTATAAGCAACTCTATTGAATGCATGAGCTAGCATTCGTGGACTTCAGCCAAGTAAAATTCATCCTTGATTCGGGTACTTCACAGCAAGAAGTTGTTAACATAATACCATGAATGCGAACTCCCACTAGCATTTCTTGCACCAACAAATGCATATATTGTACAGTGTCATATGTATCTGATACCAGTTATTACATAAGCCAGCAAAAAAGAACAGATTTGTTTTATTTCATGTGAACTCCCACACAACACTCATTTTGATTTTTAAGTACTAATACTCCTCCTAAAGGGAACATACCCATATAATTTAAGAAATGTAAAGTTCAGCATCAACAAGAAAGCGAAAAGAGGATGCATGCTACAATTATAAAAAGGGAAGAGAAACCCAGAAAAGAAGCAAGTTACCTTCTCTGATGGCAGTAAATGGGGTGCCTTCTTCTTCTTGAAGTCTTATCACCTTTAATGCCACCAGCTTTCCATTTACTCTGGAGCAGGAAAAAACCACAACAAAAGTTAGGGTTCACATAGCATTTTGATAGCAGCCCTTTTTATCTGCAAACATTTATTTTCTGCCTATAAAGAATATGACTTTCTTTCCCCAAAATAAACACCAGTCTAGCAGTTTTGACATTTCCACATTAGCAGGAAAACCAACATTTATTTACATAGCTTTCTTTTTGTTTGGTATTTTGTTCGGTTTTTAGCATAGAAAGGAGTCTGTCTCCAAGTAATATTTTTCTGCATACAATACATATTCATAACACACCGTTTGGTGGTTTATACTTAAATAAACAATTATTTATTCCAAAGCTAAACATTTATATGTAATTGTTTCCTGTTATCAGCAAACATATCCTACAAACTACTAAATTAGTTAAACAATTTTGAAGGATTTAGCTGGAGTGTGTCATTCCACCAAAGGAATCCTATAAATCGTATCCTATAAATCTCTCCTGGAAGTCTGAGAAACTATCCAGTTAAGTAGGACCAGAGAGAACATGGTGTTGTGAGTATGGAAATATATTAACACACTGCTAGACATGGGCACATGCAATTGGACTACATTTTCATAGGTAAATTTAATTTTTAATATATTATATAGATATTTTATATATTTTAAAAAAATATCATTTGGAAATCAACAGCACATCCAATTGCTGCTCTTTTTCTCATAAAATTTAAAGCAGTATTTTAGAAATGAGATGCAAAGTTTTTGAGTTTTTTATCACATTTTCAGACTTTAGGAAATAAACTAGCTCAGCTAAAAACAACATCTGTATGCAGTTTTGCTTTTCCAGCTGTTTCCACTGATGCAATTCTAAATTCTCTCATGCCTCCTGAAATGAACAGATGTGGCCATCACAGCATTTCCTTACAGCCAAGAGAGAGAAATTTGATATGCTGAAAATTAGCTGCACAGCCTATTAAATCTCCTCATTCATCTATCTGGATGGTAATCATACCACCTAGACAAGGATCTTAATCAGTGTATTCTGAGCCTTGGGTTATTAAATGGCATTCTTAAAAATGAATAGAAAGAGCATGAGAAGAAAAAGAGTAAATTTTTGTAATTTATAGATTAATTGATATAATTAAGGCATTATAATATGAAGTCTCTGCTGTCTTGAGTGCTTCTTTTTTTCTTTCCCCCTTTTTGTTATCAAACATCAGCAAACTCCTTACTATCTACCACCAAAAGCTTTTGCCTCCATTATAATTCCACACCATGTTTAAACTCTCTTGAAACACCCTAAAACACATTTTCTTAAACCTGTCCAAAACAGCATACACTTCTTATCCCCAGGTTCTCTACAGCAATGTCTAACCCTAATCCTCTGCCTTGTTTTCCAAACTTTCCTGCCCAAGACATCAAAACATCCTTAACTTCTCCTCTTTAGTCAAACAAATGTTTCATGTTCCTTGAAAACAAACCCAGCAATTCTACTCTGATGATCCATACACTTGGAATGCATTTCCAGAAACATGACACATCTTTCCTTTTCCCTTAAAACCTTCTTGAGTCACACAGATTTGAGAAGGCTATACTGTAAACTTGTAATGTCTTCACAGATGGTTAACCTAATTAAAATAAAATAAAATCTAGAAAAGAGCTACACCTTTATTAGCCAACCAAAACACACAAAACGTTTTATGCAAACGTTTTAAATTCCACTGCCTTTTTCATTATCATGGTGGCGTAAAGGGTTAAACCCTTGTGCCAGCTGACCTGCTGACCTGTAGGTTAGCAGTTCGAATCTGTGAGACAGGATGAGCTCCTGTCTGTCAGCTCCAGCTTCCCATGCGGAGATATGAGAGAAGCCTTCCACAGGATGGTAAAACATCCACGCATCCCCTGGGCAATGTTTCTGCAGAAGGCCAATTCTCTCACACCAGAAGCAACTTGCAGTTTTGCAAGTCACTTCAGACACGAAAAAAAAAATCAGGTAAAAGATGTTTAAAAATCCATGTGTGCCAAGGAAAGTTATGATGATCACAAGTAGGGCTGGAGCCATAAGTACTGACATCGAAAGTTGACTGGTTCAGTTATCTAACCTATTGTCTTACGAACTAACAGGATCATATGACACTATTATTCTATTGGAACAACGTAGGATTATTGCACTTATTATCAAGTTAATCCTAAAAAGCTATCCTTGATTATTAACTATCTAACAGATATAATTTTTCACTGATACTGTATAAGCTGCCATAGATTGATTGTGAGATGCACACTAATTTCAGAACCACCCATACCTGCAATTCTAAGATCAACCCCCATTTTTAGAAATGTTTATATGGGTGGGGGGGGGGGTGTCTCTTAGAATAGAAGAATTACAATGTCGACTTTTGCCAGTTATTTTATCTATTCGAACTAAAGGCACTTCCAGACAGGCCCTATACCTCAGGATCTGATCCCAGGTTTTCTGTTTATCTGGCAGTGGGGACACATATAATCCAGTTTAATGCAGAAAACCTGGGACCATAGGTTAACTGCATTAAAGTGCATTAAATAGCAGTATAGTGTCTAAATCCAGGGAAGTCATGCTACCCCTCTATTATGCCTTGGTCAGATCACACCTGAAATACTGCATCCAATTCTGAGCATCGCAATTGAAGAAAGATGTTTGACAAACTGGAATGTGTCCGGCAGAGGGTGAGTAAAATGATCCAAGTGTCTGGAGAACAAGCCCTATGAGGAGCGGCTTAAAGAGTTGGGCATGTTTAGCCTGCAGAAGAGAAGGCTGAGAGGAGACATGATGATGGCCATGAATAGACATGTGAGGGGAAGTCACAGGAAGGAGAGAGCAGGCTTGTTTTCTGCTGCCCTGGAGACTAGGATGTGGAACAATGACTTCAAACTACAGGAAAGGAGATTTCACCTGAACATGACGAACAATGAGAGCTTTTCAACAGTGGAACTCTCTGTCCCAGAGTGTGGCAGAGGCTCCTTCTTTGGAGGCTTTTAAACAGGGGCTGGATGTATTGTCGAAGGCTTTCATGGTCGGAATCACTGGGTTGTTGTAGGTTTTTTCGGGCTATATGGCCATGTTCTAGAGGCATTCTCTCCTGACGTTTCGCCTGCATCTATGGCAATCATCTTCAGAGGTGAGGTGGATGGCCATCTGTCAGGGATGCTTTGAAAGCGATTTTCCTGCTTCTTGGCAGGGGGTTGGACTGGATGACCATGATGTCTCTTCCAACTCTATGATTCTATGATCTGATCCTGGGATAAAGGGTCTGTCTGGAAGGGCCCTGAGCTAAATCATTATGAACAAAACAACATAGAATCTTAAATATATTTGCATTATATATATATATATTTAAAAATACTTACTTGCTTTTGCCTTTATATACTGTGGCATATGAACCTTCCCCTAGTTTTTCCAGTTTTTCATATGAGTCTGCTTTTCCAAATTTGGGACTAGTTGGCTGAGTAGGAAAAGAGGGGAAAAAAGAGATACATTGTTCAATATTCACATACTAATATTAATTGCATCCAACCATCCGTGAAGGCCAAATGTTATTACCAAAACTAATGACATTATACCTCAGAAACGTTATGCTTGATATTGTCATTTATCAAGGGCAGCGGCTAATGATATCTATCTAAAACATCACTAAGCACTCCAGATGGTCCTTGCCTATTTCAACCGTATCCCTGTAACAGTGGATACATCAGAAGGCTTAGTTTGCGGAAGAATGAAATCGGGATTTGTTGCACAGAGTTCCTTTCAAGTGGTGAAAAAAATAACAGCTGCATGAAGAAATACGATTTAGTAGATATCAAAAGTGGACATGCTTTTGCATTGTGTAAAACGCCGCATTTGCAATCTTCCAATTCCCAGAAGTTCTCCTTAAGTTTTAATAATACTTGGTTGTTAACTAGGCCTGGGCAAACTTGTGCCCTCCAGGTGTTTTGGACTCCAACTCCCACAATTCCTAACAGCCTCAGGCCCTTTTCCTTTCCCCCTCAGCCGCTAGCGGCTGAGGGGGAAAGGAAAAGGGCCTGAGGCTGTTAGGAATTGTGGGAGTTGGAGTCCAAAACACCTGGAGAGTCCAGGTTTGCCCAGGCCTGGTTCAAATGGTGCATGTAGTTCAAATGGTGTTTGCAATTCCAATTAAAGATGGCAGACAATATTGCACACAAGCAGTGCTCAGGGTTTACTTCACAGTTTTCCCGCATTTTTTCGTGAAAGGCTTCAGTTCGGATACCTGGCTCAAAATGGCCGAAGGTCCCTCGTCTACAGAATTCAAAATGGGAGCCGATGCCCCTGTATTGTTTGAATGAGTAGGGCCAGACTCTTCTTCTGAAGCCGATGGGGTCTGTGGTGGTTCCACGTCGCGAGTGTCCATTTGCTGACGTTCCCAAAACAAGGAGGCAAGCTCTTGGTACAAAAACCAGTACAACTTCACCTCAGAAACCACTCACTTGAGGATTTTTAGATTTTTTAAAGATCCAACGTATTATTAACTCAGGACTGAGTAGGACTTTTTTGTATATAGAAAACAGATCACAATCGAAATCCTTATTGCTTTCATGGTCCTCCGTACAAATACAAATCTAAATATAGAGGTTGGGCCAAAGGCTTTCATGGCTGGAATCACTAGGTTGCTGTGAGTTTTCCAGAGTGTTTGGCCATGTTCCAGAAGCATTCTCTCCTGACGTTTCGCCCTCACAACCTCTGAGGATGCCTGCCATAGATGTGGGCAAAATGTAAGGAGAGAATGCTCCTGGAACATGGCTATACCAGCCTGGAAAACTCATAGTAACCCAGTGAGTCAGGCTATGGAAACCTTTGACAACACATTACTATTATTGTTGTTAGCTGTACTTTTAGTTATCTATATAAATAAAAATGTAATGTTCGTTTGTGGGATTAACATAACTCAAAAACCACTGGACGAATTGACATGAGATTTGGACACAATACACCTACGAGGTCACAGAGTGACTATCACTGAAAAATACAACAGAAGGGACTTAAAAGGCCAAAAAAGCAAAAAGATGCTGCAATGCATGTGCAAAAACAACTCCCCCTGGCAAACAAAACACACAAAAGCATATCCACACTCTCTTTCAGACTACACCTCCCAGCATCCCCTAGAACAGGCCCTTTAGGAGAGGAGAATGATCCAAATGCACTGCTTCCAAGCTGCAAACTTTCTTCTCCTTGGATTTCTTTGAGAGCATCCCAATCCCTGCATATTTCCAATTTCCTATTCCTGGACTGCAACTCCCAGCAATCCTCCAGATAGATAAGACAGACAGACAGATAGATACATTAGATAGAGATAGATAGGTAGGTAGATAGATAGATTGATCAGGAGGACTGCTGGGAATTGCAGTCCAAGAATAGGTAGAGAAGGAAGAAAGGGGAGAAAGAGGAAGGGAAAGAAAAGGAAAGGAAGAGAAGAGGAAGAGAGGGGAGGAAGGAGAGAATGAAAGAAAAAAAGGAAGGGAGAGAGGGAGGAAGGAAGGAAGGAAGGAAGGAAGGAAGGAAGGAAGGAAGGAAGGAAGGAGAAGAGAAAGAGGGAGGGAATTTTGGCCACAGCAATGTGTGGCTGGTACAGCTAGTGTGTGTGTGTGTGTGTGTGTGCGCGCGCGCGCTTAAGCAGCTGAGGGGGAAAAGGAAGGGGCCTGAGGCTGTTAGAAATTGTGGGAGTTGAAGTCCAAAACACCTCGACGGAGGGCCAAAATTGGCCCAGGCCTGGTCTAAACTAAGCTTCCCTGTGGCATTGTATATAATGGGACTTGAATAATATACACATGTTTCACTTCAGAAAATATGTTCCTAACTATGAGATAAACATGGACAGAAGGAAGCTTTTTTAAAAATGGAGGATTTTAAAACTTGAAGAAAAGGGCTTTTCAGACAGATGGTTTTTCTCTCTCAAAGGCAGGAACCTGCCTGAAAGTAACACTGTGTCCCTCCTTTTCTGGCAGGCCGACATCTTTCTGCAGAAAAAGGAGGTATTTCTCCTCAGAAAAGGAATACACTAAGGGCCCTTCCACACAACCCTATATCCTAGAATATCAAGGCAGGATACCACATTATCTGAGTGTGGACTCCGATAACCCAGTTCAAAGCAGATATTGTGGGATTTTCTGCCCTGATAGTCTGGGATATCGGGTTGTATGGAAGGGCCCTGGATCATCTCAGATCTGTTCCAACTCAGCTGTCCACACTTCAGTAAATATCAGGGTAATTTCCAGGAAGCTCTGGGCTAAACTGTGTTTTTTCTTGTTCCTGATCAGTAGTTGATAGTAGTATTTCTGCTGAAACCCCAATTATATATCAGGTGGACTTCTCACAACACTTGCAAGATGAATCCATTTTATTTATAATAAATAATAGTAATAACCCTTTATTTATACTGTCAGTGTTTCAAGGTCAAGTTTGATAAGAGGCCATTAGGTTAGGAGCAAACCCATTGACCATAGTCCAATTTAATTTAAAACTTATCACACTAGGGTATCTATCCACTTTGAATCCTGTAGCTGCCTCCTGCATAATTCTGGGTTTTGTAGTTTAGAGAAGGGCCTTTAAAATGTTCAGTTTTTGTGCAATGAATCAGATATAATCATATCAAAGTTGCTGCATTTCATAGCACTTTATAATGTATTAAATATTCAGAGGTAGATGTATTGTCGAAGGCTTTCATGGCTGAAATCACTGGGTTGTTGTAGGTTTTTTGGGCTGCATGGCCATGTTCTAGAAGTATTCTCTCCTGACGTTTGACCTGCATCTATGGCAGACATCCTCAGAAGTAGTGAGGTCTGTTGGAACTAGGAAAAAAGGGTTTATATATCTGTGGAATGACCAGGGTGGGACAAAGGACTCTTGTCTGCTGGAGCTAGGTGTGAATGTTTCAACTGACCACCTTGATTAGTATATAATGGCCTGACATTGCCTTTCTGGAAAGGAGGAAACCAAAAAACTCTAAAATTCGAACAGCACAACAACAGAGAGGAAACAAACAAGGACATCTAATCACCTCTCAACAAAAGATTGCTCCAGGCACTGCCAGGCTATCAAATGCTAATCAAGGTGGTCAGTTGAAACATTCACACCTAGCTCCAGCAGACAAGAGTCCTTTGTCCCACCCTGGTCATTCCACAGATATATAAACCCTTTTTTCCTAGTTCCAACAGACCTCACTACCTCTGAGGATGCTTGCCATAGATGCAGGCGAAACGTCAGGAGAAAAATTGCCTCCAGAACATGGCCATATAGCCCGGAAAAACCTACAACAACCCATGTATGTATGTATGTATGTGTGTGTGTGTGTATATATATATATTCATACACACAGAGACACACTTTAAAAATAAATTAGAATGATAAAAATGCAAAATTATTTTGTGGCCCTTCAGTGGCTCTAAAGTACCACACTATAAAAGTGGGCTGCCCGATAATAAATTATTTGTATTGTGAAAGCCTTTCATAGCCAAAATCATAGGTTTCTGTCAGTTTTCCAGAATGCATGGCTGTATTCCAGAAGCATTCTCTCCTGACATTTCGCCCGCATCTATAGCAGGCATCCTCAGAGGTTGAAAGGTATGTTGGAAACTAGGCAAGTGAGGTTTATATATCTGTGGAATGTCCAGGGTGGAAGAAAGAACTTTGGTCTGCTTGAGCCAAGTGTGATTGTTGCAAGTGGCCACCTTGATTAGCATTGAATGGCCTTTCAGCCTCAAAGCCTGGCTACTTCCTGCCTTGGGGAATCCTTTGTTGGGAGGTGTCAGCTGGGAGAAAGAACTTATTCAATGCTAATCAAGGTGGACAACTGCAACATTCACACTTGCCTCAAGCGGACAAGAGTCTTTCTCCCACCCTGGACATTCCACAGATATATAAACCTCACTTGCCTAGTTTCCAACAGACCTCATAATCTCTGAGGATGTTTACCATAGATGTGGGAAAACATCAGGAGATAATGCTTCAGGAACATGGCCATACAGCCCAGAAAACTCACAGTAACCCAAGAAAGTATTTATTATTATTCTCATAATAATATCTTTAGGATCTCACCAAACCATTGTTTTATAATTATATTTTAATTATAATGGATTATAATTTTAATTTAATTTTTGGAATACACAGTCAACTACAATTCCTCATTTTCCGGGGACTTTTTTCCCCAGGCACTACATATTAATTACAATGTAACATGAGCAATATTTCAGATTTATAATGAGCTTTGTTATTATAAAGCTGGGTAATTCATTTGGAAGTGATAATTCTCTTTTAATGAATTTATTGAAATAGAGTTAGGAGGAGCCAAAACAAAACAGAGTACGTTGTTTGCTACTTAGTAGTTTTCAGAATACTGGCTGGCTCCTATATTGGAAGGTTTTAAACACAGTTCCCTCCCAGGTATTTCTGTAAGCCACTTTAAAATCAATTTCATTGCCATAGTATAGTGGCACATGTATCCATTTATTTTTTAAAATAGATAAATATGTTAATATATAACAAGGTGCATCTACATTGCAGAATGAATGCAGTTTGGCACCACTTTAACTACTATGGCTCAATGCTATGGAATCATGGGGTTTGTAGTTTTACAGGCTCTCAATCATTCCTAGCCACAATCTTCATGATTCCACAGTACTGAGCCATGCCAGTTAAAGTGTTGTCAAATTGTATTAATTCTACAATGTAGATGCACCCTGAATGCTGCTTCCATTTTTGGAGAGGGTTAGGGTTAGTGTTGGAGCTCAGCCTGTGATTGTGTTTAAGGATCAGGGTGCTTTGGATGTGGGAAATGATGACAATGAGGTTCATGAAGGTAATGGTGTTTTCAATTATATTGATGCAGAGAATGACCAGGAGATCCCTGTTCAAAGTGTATTTTCTCACGAGAATGTTCCTAATGGGTGTGGGGATGATGGTGTGCTCCCTGAATTGCTACCAGAGAATTTCCATGATTTGGAGCTTGAGAAAAGCTTGGCACCCGGCCCAGCTGCAGAACTTAATGAGCAAATAGATAGACGGGATGTTATTAGTCAGAATAGGAAAGCAGATCAGTGTTTCAGGTGTTCTGCCAGGCTCAGAGAAAGAAAGATAAGGGATTCAAGGCTAAAGCGAAACCAATTTCTGGCCACTTGAGACATAGCTTAATGAGGAGATAAAACTCCCAAGTACAGGATTTGTAGTCAGATGAAGCATCGTTTGGAATCGTCAAGATCTCGTCCCTGTTCCTTGGAAGCCTTGCTTTGTAAAGATTTATGTTTAAGTGCCTTTGATTCATGTTTTTAATTCTTGGGTTTTATGATTATGTATTTAAATGCCTTGGATTCATGTTTCCAGTTTTGGATTTATAAAAGTCTCTGCCTTTGTTTTTCATGAACTTTAATGGACTAATTTCCTGGACTATTTGTTCCAGCTTATCTTCCTACCTAATTGGATTTACCTATTCCTTTAAAGTGCTTTTTACTTTTATTGCTTTTTTAATTATCTACAATAAACGGATGCATTTCTACTCAACTGTGAGGTTTTTAAAGTCAGAGGGCTTTTCCTGGTCTGGAATGCAACAGTTAGGGTTAGGATTAGGGTTAGGGTTGTTGCACTACCACATTTTAAATAAGGTTAGTGTAACAATCCTAATATAGGCCAAGGGAAGTGCTAGCAAAGCAATACATCTTTAACATTCAATGACCACTGGGATACTGTAGGTATGTTGCCATTTCTCATGGGCAAGGCAACCTTTTTCTCCCTAGTGTCATTGGTCTTTATTTCTCATAATATAGCCTATCTAACAGTGACACATGAGAATAAGCTAAGTGCAGAAATCTACAAATTCCTCACTCCTTCTATGATAGTAGGCACCAAAGTGTGGTGTTCATAGCAGGTTGGGGTAACCCTGGATTTAAGGGATCACAATTCTACAATTCTCTGACCAAAACTATTATAGTATTCAGGCTTCCTTCGACCATGTTGGCCCAGTTAACATCATCGGCCTCAAAACCAACCCACATATCTGAGTGAACCTTCATTGGCTCCTGTAAATAAATGTGAATGTTTGATGTTTTATATTTCTGTTTTATGTTAGATATATATTTTAGATAGGTTATGTTTTATTTAATCTAGACATGTTATATGTTATTTTCACATGTGGGATTATTCTGGGATATTATGTGTTATCGTAATGAGGCATTGAATGGTTGCCCTTTTTTGTTAGTTTGCCCTGAGTCCCCTCGGAGAGATAGGGTGGAATATAAATAAAGTTTGATTATTATTATTATTATTATTATTATTATTATTATTTAAAATACAACAAGATTAGTACACAGCAAACAAGATCACTATGCTGGTTGTTGTGTTGGATGACAAGTCGGACACTTCACCAGGTGTCTAGGACTATGTGATGAATCGGCGAGTAATGCGTGCAGATCCCAGTAGGGTGGCCTTTTGCAGCTGTCAGATTGTAATTTTGTCAGCGCCGATTGTGTTTAAGTGCAAACCAAGGTCTTTAGGCACTGCATTGCTGATCACCACTATTATTATTATTATTATTATTATTATTATTATTATTTTGCTTCAAATGTTATCCCTGTTTCTGGGTGTATTTGACCTCTTGATTACAAAAAGATTTCACTTCGCTTTCTGTCCCTGTGATGATTATATATATATATATATACATATACATATATATATATATATATATATATATATATGGAATATCCGTTCTGACTTACATACACATTCAACTTAAGAACAAACCTACAGAACCTATATTGTTCATAACTTGAAGACTTGCCTGTACTTCATACTGAACACACCCCCTGTAGAGTTAAATATATCAAGTCATCTGTTTTGTTCTGCCTATGCATACAGAATACAGGTCATCTTACATATTCCAATAACTTGATTCTGCTTAAAATAAACACTAAGGGCATAATGTAAATGGTTCTTCTAGCTGGAAGGCTATTTAGAGAGAAAGAGAGAAGGTACTCTTATCCAATGTGACTTCTTTATAAACCACAACTGGATTTCTCTCCAGGCCTTTTGAATTTGCAAGCACTTCAAGAGCAGCATTTCCTCCAGGGTAAAACTATTGGTACAAAGGGTGAGGTCAAGCACAACCCGAGTATGGTCAGTGCAAAGTAAATGGAGGCAGATATAAGTCTTAGCAGCCAATATATTTTCACACCGATCATGCAAAGCACACACTCATTCTATATATATCAGCCAATTGGCTGATAATATAAGCATTTTGTCATATATATCTACTCAGAAATAAGTCCGAAGACTCTTTGTGCCCAAGATCACCCAGCTGGTTTCTGATGAGAAGGGTTTCATATCCTGGTTTTCCTGGGTTGAAGTAATTTCATACACTGATTCTAAAATATAAAACTCTTTCAATTCCATCTAACTTTAACCAGACAGACCTTATAACCAACCACAAGAAAAGAGCGGGAGTGAAAAGAAGGTCTGAAGAAGCTCTCAAACCACAAAGGAAATTCAAAGAGGCCAGAGCTTGTCACCGCTGCTATAAACATACACTCTCTTAGAAGTCTGAAGAGAAACCATTCAGTCCCATTCAGGCTTCACCCATATAGAATGTGACAAGATTCTACTATTTATTAAGATCAGAAGAATAATTTTGGGTAGATGGAAAATTAAACAAGAAATTATAGCACTAAGTCACAGCAACGTAGAATCTGTTCTGGAACCAAAACAATATAGAAATTTAGTAAGACAAAATGTTGATTTTGAAGCCAATAATTAATATTCTTTTGCATATCTCCTACATTCCAAATAAAAATTATATTTATATATTTTCCAAGAGGCTGTATTTTTTCACTCAAAGGCCACATTATTGCAGATGATGCCACAGAGAAAGATAAAATGCAGTTTTCACACAGAATAATTTGGCAGGACACCTCTGGGACAACTTGCCAGCACACCCGTCATAAGCAAGATGACATTTCATTTATCAGTATTCTGTGAAAGTGGATATACCACATGGGGAAAGCATAACACGTTCAGAGGGCTTTGTCTGCTTCATGATTTCACAAACTATTCTGGTATGACAATATTTGCTTGATCAACATGCCCTGCTTTGACAAACCGACCCACCCCTGCAGTATAATATCTTCCTTCAGGACATTATTATTTTAATGATTTTGTTTCTGGAAGAACATTTCGGATGGAGATGAAGCACAAACATTTAAAAATTCTCCCAGCTTGCAACAATGTTTTATACCTTGTAGGGAATCCTGAGAAAAAAGCTATTTCAACAAATTAATATAGTTGATTAAGCTAACCCAAACGAGCATTTTCCAAAGCTGGCATCAGTTTACTTTTTCTGCTTGAATGAAGTGCTTATGTTGGCAGGATTTATACTGGCTACAAATACCACTGAAAATGTTGCTAGCCTGGTTAACATAATACGCGTAACATTAAAAAACTTAAAATTTAAATCATTTTTTATTGTATTTGAGAGTAAATATGTTAAGCACTCAACAAGAATGAGCATAGCCATTTTAAAAATATACATTTTTCAGCATATCCGTTTATATAAAGTGCAGTTGCTATTAAAAGAACTAAAATATTTGGAGCTTGGTTGACAGATTAAGGAAAGATAAATATGGCATGTCTGGACTTACAGAGCTAGGACTGGAATGTCGTCTGATTTTAGGAGATTCTTTCCCAGTAGATGAAGCCTTGAAGTTAATGCAGGCATTGTTCTCTGAATGTACCCTCTTCACTTGATTATTTGGCTTCTCAAATGGATCAAAAGTGCTTTGTGTCCTCTGAACTCTGACTTTTTTGTCTTCTGGAATTGTGTCCAAGGGCTTGATCACAGAATCCATTCCTTGGCAGTTCCGTGTAGACATCTTTGTGACACATATCTAAGAAATGGAGAAGATACAATCTGTTCACGTAGGCAGATGAAATTGCACTGCTTAGCACCAAATTAGTGGTTACAGAGTTCATGCTGCTACCATTCCAATTGTACCACTACATAAAAAACTAAAAATGTAGTCAGGTAATAGGCAAAACCCAAGCCTTTCAAGCAATTCTACAACAACACCTATAGCATTTGAAAAAGTTTAGCACCAGTAACAGAAGTGAATCCAATTAAGGTGAAAGCTTGCTTCAAAACAATGAACATCTTGGGGAGAACTTGTGGGCATAGAAACTGCCTTCCCATTCCTATTGAGTCCACCTTTAATTTCCAGTTACATCAAATGCAACTGAATCAAAGACTTGGTAACAGCAAAGCTTTGTTTTTCACTCTTTGGTGTTCTTCAACTCAACCATATTACCTTTTCATGTAATGCATATTTCAAACATATTATAACACACCTCAGGGGATTGTTTTATTATTTGTCAAAAGAAATAAATGATATTATTTCTAGCATGTTAAAAGCACAATAGCAATAAAACACAATCACTGAAAGTTAAAAAGTACAGATTTAGAAGTCTTACAGAAACCTTAAGCAAACAGCAGTCCAGTGCTTCTAACACTGTCACACCACTAAACCTTGTCATTCAGTCATTGATATCTCCTACAAAGTATTGATTTCCATTTGTTTAAAATTTGATGACCACAAATTAACTAAATGATGCCAATTTACAGGCACACTAATATAGAATGCATTATATAATTGCATTGTAAAGCAATGCCACTGCAGTATTAAACAACTGAGACGAACTGATAAATTCATATCTCATCCTATTAAACAGCATAGAAAGAACTGATAAATTCATATCCCAGCCACACAACACTGAAGCTCAGTGTTCAATAATTCCATGAAAAATATAAATTAACTGATCTACTATTATTGTTTTGTTGTTATGTTTGTTTGTGTGAGAGAGATTTTGCCCCAGAATGGAAACACAATGTAGTTTACAAATCTAGAAAAGATACATAAAAAACATAGATTGGAAATATGCAGGCATTGTTTAACTCTGAATTAATCTATATAATAAAAGGCATTTAGAACATTTCCATTAAAAAGTGGAGGGAGAGGGGATAGCACAGCACCCAAATAGTTCTATTGTATTTCTTACTGGTATTGGGCTCATACACCAAGTAATTTTAATTGCAGATTATCTGAAAAATCATGGTTCAACACTATGATATCCTTAAAATCCAATACAAATACGAAAAACTCCACATGGCTGGCAAGGACTCCTTATAAAAACATGGTAAGACGTCAGTATCAAAGCATGCAAACATATATTCTCATCAATGTGATGATTTAAAAAATGAACATTAAGATAATCTTCCTGCGATCTTGGGGGTTCTTCAAAACCCAGTATGCTCAAATCATAGAGATACATCAATGACCATCCCTGCTCACAACATTGCAATCTGTATTTTATGAAGTTTTGAGTTCTGATAAATTTGTTCGTATATCAAATGCAGACACATGTTTAATAATGGCACTGTTCTTAAGCATATCTACAAGTTTATAATTGACCTGCTTATTACAGGTCAATTATAAACAGTACAGAGCCTACCGAAGAATCTTCTTATCTAAATTGTACTATTACAATTCTAACTATATTTTACCAAAATCTGCTTCAACACTGCACATATTGAACTGTTTAGGCCATTATAAGTAAAAATGATGACTCCACTTCTACCAAGTATTAGCATAAGAGCAATATTACACATTATAAAAATCAAACCCACTGAAACAAACAGCGCGTAATCATAATTAGCAAAAGTTTGAATCCACCCCTGTTTTGTGTATACATGCTTCTCAACTTCAAACAATGTTGTTCTTCCACTTGTGTGCCTTCCAGTCCTTTCTGACTGATGGAGTCTCCATTGCAAGCTTTTCTTGGCAAAATTTGTTCAGAGGAGATTTGCCTTTGCCTTCCTCTGATACTGTGACTTGCCTAAAATCACCTAGAAGTTTTCCATAGCTGAGCAGATACTTGTACTTTGGTCTTCAAAGCTATAGCCTCAACGCTCAGACCACTAAATCACCAGCTCTATTCTTCCTCTTGTTTATATGCAAACAAGAGGGGAAGATAAAATGTTTATACTGTATCTATGTTAATTTTTTATAAATACAACACAACACACAGAACTTTGTCATGATTTATACTGAATCATGATTGTAATTTATCGTGGAGTGATTTCTTTTCTTTATCCCCCACACAACCAAAATATTTTCAGATGACAATCGAGGTATCAATTTTATAAAGTTTAGGTAAAGGTTTCCCCTTGACATTAAGTCTAGTTGTGTCCAACTCTGGGGGGTGGTGCTCATCTCTATTTCTAAGCCCAAGAACCAGGGTTGTCCGTAGACACCTCCAAGGTCATGTGGCCGACATGACTGCATGGAGCACCATTATCTTCCCACCAAAGCGGTACCTATTGATCTACTCACATTTGCACATTTTTGAACGGCTAGGTTGGCAGAAGTTGGGGCTAACAGTGGGAGCTTATCCTGCTCCCCGGATTTGAACCACCAACCTTTCGGTCAGCAACTTCAGCAGCTTGGCGCTTTAATCCGCTGCGCCATGGGTTTAGGAATGTCCATATCTTGAAAGGAGATATGGTGGGTGAATTGATTCCTTACCAATGAAAGAAGCAGTCATAGCCTAAAATTGATTTCGACTGAATTTCTTCTAGAAAATCAATTTGCATAAATATAAAATTTATACCAAGTCATATGATTAATTCCAAAAGCTTTTTCTGTTAAAAACATGATGGTATCCAGTGCTTTCTGTGTCTCTTTTACAATGAAGAGATTCAGCAATTCCTAGGCAAGAGCCCAGTACAAAAAGTTTATCTCAGAATCAAAGGTAAAAATTTTCCATAATGGTACAAAATTATTTGAGTAAAGAAAGATGCAATCCCAGAATCATTTACAGAAAAATACATATGATGTTTGCAGGTAAACTCGTGGAAATCACAACTACCAAGATCAAAGCTAGAATCAGATAATCTGATCCATGGGACAGCATTGGGTATATCTGCAAATATCACTGCGCTACAGATAGGAACACTGGCAAATATCTAGATACAATTTAGGGCTGGGTTGGAAAAATCCTTTAATGGTCACACAGTTTATATGCAGATCCCAAAGTGATTCTTGGATGGTTGGAGTGGAACTCTTCAACAAAATGTTTGAGCAATGACATACAATCTATTTTTGCACTTTTCACATGACATGATCTTGCCCATTTCCAAAGAGCAAAATGTTCTGTTCTTTTCTGTAAAATCTTTGAGCTGTTCAAAAGTGAATGAAATGCTTTTGTCAATAGCCAGAAAAGGGTAATTTGGGATTAAATTCCATGCTCTGAAGACCAAAAGTCGGAAAATTATGGGTTACAAAACCCATAATTTCTGGTATTATTTTCAGTTATTTCTTTCTGAATCTGTGACTTTCATATTAATTGTGCTTACTATAATGTACACAAAGCAAAGGTATATTTAACCACCCATAAGGAACTTTTAAGGTCTAGCATATATAAATTACATTAAATCCAATTAAAGAACGTTTCATTTCATTTGCTTCAGAAGGAAAATTTAAATATGAATTTTACAATAGCACACTTTAGTTTTCCCTTAAAAATGAATAAAGTACTGCACACTATAGAATGGAATTGCTGAACTGTTAGTAGTCTTTTCAATGCCTATCCAAATCAGGATTGGTGAACCAAGCAACAAAGAACATGAAGGCTAAATAAAGGGGATATTTCTGGGCAATAAAGGATAGACTTAATCTCAAAAGCCACCTAATGGATCTTTTCCCTCAAGTAGAACAGAGTTATTTCACATGGTTCATGATACATAGTAATTTGCACCTATAAATATGATTGTTAGAAGCATATATGTGCAACACATATTTAAATATGTTGCCTTGTTGTTGTGGGTTGGGAAGGTTTTAGAGAAGGTTTACCACTGCATTCCTCTGAGACTACAAGTGGCTACCAGACAAGTTAGCCTTTTGATTGAGAGGCAATCCCCATATGTCAACAGGCTCCGAGGAAAGATTACAATATATTTCTGATCGCTCTTATCTCACAGCAAAGTTTCCAGTCGAAATGCATTGAAATGCTACTAATCTATTCTGGCCCCCCATAAACTACAACATTTTTTGTTATGTGTTTTTAAATAAGAAAAAGCTACTTTATAAATAACAAATAATGTATAATGATCTTGGATGGTGTGGTTTTAATAATGTTTTAATCTCTATATGGTTTATAAGTTATGTTTTAATGTATATGTTTATTTTATATTTTTTGTTGCATCAAATTGTTGCGTTTTGTAAGGCTGCTCTGAGTCCCCTTCGGGGTGAGGAGGACAAGGTATAAATACTGTAAATAAATAAACAAACCAATAAATAAATGTATTTTAAAGAAAACAAAAATCACCACCCTTTCAAACCAGATAAGACAGAAACTAAAGGGAGGTTGTCTGTGCCTCTTTTCCCAGAGATCAATGCTTCCCTCCCCACAGATTCTCTGCTTCTTCCATCACCTTAGCTAACCTCCTCATCCTGATCTTGGATGCTAAGATGGGTCAGCCATGTTTGGACTTGGATGGGAGACCACCCAAGGGTCCCAGGTGCAGGGGGAGGCAGTATTTCCGAGGAAGGAACTGGCAAACACCAGCACAGCCAGAAAGGCCAGGCCAGACATTCCCTTCACTGAACCTCTCTTCTGCCCAGCTCATGGGCATTTGTCCTTCAGGGAGGAGAAGCCCCCACTCAGCTGCCACATTGTTTCTCAGATGAAGGAAGTGGCGGTGGCACTGCTGGTCTGGGCCTCCTGTGGCCGCCCTCCCGGTGCTAATGCTGCTGCTGGTGAAAGCCCCTCCTATCCTCCTTTCAATGGAAATGGATGGCTTGCTCTCGTACTAGAGCTATGTCTCCCCCTAGCT